AAATAGACTTTGCTAAACACTCATATCTAACAAGCAATTTTCAGTACTTTTTAGAGTACTTTTTTTTATCAGAAGGTCTGCCACAACTTTATTTTAGCTGTTTCATCATGTTTCGTAACTGAAGACAAAGGAAATGAATAAAACTACTTTATTGACAAGCATTATTGAGAAACAATACGTAAAAATACGATTTTCTGAATTCAGAAAGTATGACATTCGAAAGTTCAGTATTATCGCTGAACAGTAATGTAGACGCTTTAAGTACGGTGCTCATTTATTTCTGAAGTACTGAGTTAATTTCCATTTGACTGTGCCTCTTTAAGGAGAGAGCGGAGTTTTTCCAGTGTCTCTTGAAGCAGCAAACATTGCCACATACTGACACGAAAGTTCTGCGGAAATGCCTGGACATAAAAGCATACACAATCGGATTGACGCAAGAGTTCGAAAATTTCATTATGGCAAATGTCATGCGCATGTATTTGAGCGTCTCTGTTGGACTTGTGTGGCACAAGTAGCCGAATGCGACCAGGAATTCGTCTACTAAATACGGTGTCCAACAAATGATGAACAGCGAAACAACGGCCACAAGCATTTGCACGATCTATAAGTATAACATTATCAGTAAATTGCTGCCAATGACGTACAGGCATTTCTTAACAACAGAATAAATAAGAATCGATTTGTTTCAGGTCTATAACAAGGAATTTTGTTTTAAATAAAAATTAACCCATAACTTTGAAACGGATTGTCTCTTGTTTCAGACAGACCCAAAACACTCATCGCCCTATTTCTTGCAGAAACCATCCTCCCTGTCATGTGATGGACTTGACTTCACAGTAAAGCTTCTATCACAAATGCTACAATATATGAAGGCTAGCGAATGACAGAAAGTTACTGCCATTCAGAAACAACCTGCGAACCGTACCTTGCTTGAGTTAGATACCATTTGAAGAGCAAGAATCTGCGAGAAATACTACACCCTGTGCCGGAGTAGGTCAGTTCAGTTGTATTCTAAGGAATATGTCGCCATCCGTCGATACTGTATGTGAATGCAGAAATTAATTAGCTACTGTCGTATAACATCTGACTGCATTTTTAGTCATCGATGAGCATATTATTACATATTGGAATATTATGGTAAGCGGGTGAGATGAGAAAATTCCAGTAGGGCTCTTTTTACGAATTAAACCATCTGGGTCACTATTCAGAGCATTTCTCCAATAGACAAAATTTCCATTAAGGCTTCAAGAGATTCGCCATCCTCTGGTTACCACCCCATCGCTATTCGACTATGTGACAGTTCATGACAAGTCTTCACCTTTACGGAAAATACAGTCTGTTCTGCCTCCAGCAATTAATTCCGTACTTTGAAAGTTTTTGATTCTCCTACCAAGATACTTCATTCTTTTATTGTAAAATATGCAAACTTTTAATTTTAAGAACTATTATAAATAAATTGGTGTTATCAAGAAAGATATTATAACTTATGACTTTGCTCCTAAGTGACAGGGATTTAGACGACCAGCACCAAAGTTATAATGAAAGAATAGATAAATTTG